TTTCAAATGGAGATTTAAAAAAAAAAAAAGCTTTTGATAAATTTTTATTGAAATTTTAACAATTAATGATGAAATTTTAATATTTATGCCAACTAAAATGACCGAATTGCAAAAAAATCTATTGAATAAATTTTAAATTATTGCATTTTTTATAACAAAGTTGTGAAATTGCAAATGCAAATTTAAAAAAAAAATTAGCTTTTATCATATATACATGGGAATTTTGTCAATTTCTTTTTAATTTTATGTCCACTAAAATTATTAAAATGTAAGAAATTTGTGGGATAAATTTAGAAAATGGCATAAAAATGGATGAAATCTGGAAAGGAAGTTGTGGAGGCTTACCAATAAGCTGCATGTCAGTAAATCTCAATTTCCCACATGCATCTTGTTGGCAACTTCCAATTTCCAACATGATTTTAGTGAGTAACATGGTCTTCATATACCAACATGAAGTTGGTCGGTACTTTAGGCGGGGATTGCAAAATTTTTGGTTTTTTTATTTCTGCCTTAAGGTAAAGTACCTATGTGATCTTTGTTGGTAAAATCAATACCAACAAACCACACATGCGTAAATTGGTCTATATATTCTTCACCCCAACACTTTGCCCAGCTCATTTCTTCTTGCCTTCCTTCTTCTTCTTTTTTCTTCTCCTCCCTCATTTGTGCCTCCTCTTTCTCTTCCATTCAATGTTGCTAAATTAACTGTGTATGTTTATAATTACATTATATTCATATAATTTTAGGTTTATATCTTCTCAATCTCCTCTTTTTTTCTCTTCCATTGTTTCTCCCTATTTGATTAAATACTAATTTGTGTTATTAATCAATTTATTTGCAATTTTAATTTTTCTTAATTTTGTTTTCCAAGATACATTAGGAGATAATCATTGGGTAAGTAAATTTTATTTATGCAGATTAACATTCAATTTCATTTATATGTTAATTAGAGCCATTTGGATTGAGATTATAAATAAATACTAACCTAATTTATGTTTTTTTATTTTTTTAGGAAACAGTGTTATGCAAATATTCATCTATTGAGGTAATCTTTATTTTTTTGGGTTATCTAGTTATATTTTAAGTTTGTCATATTATTCTTATATTTTAAATTATGTTTTAATCAT